AGGTAAAAAGAAAACAACAAACACTCATTAAAAATGTGCTCAATTTCAGGATAGGTGTGTTCTGGGATAATTTTGTTACACATCAGATGCCATGCCATAGTGATTTAATAGTTGTCTCTTATCTATATGTCCTGATTCCATTTGCCTTCAAAACGGTTTGTACATTATATACTTTTGAATCGATAAACTATGCTTTTCTTTTTCTCAGAAAATTTGCTGACACTTTAGTCAAATTCTAGTGTATATATTATACAATATTTAAGATAGCTTTAATTATGAATTCTTCTTTTCAGACACTTTTTAAATAGCCTAAAGTGGTTCTCAACTTTCCTAATGCTGCAACCCTTTCACCGTTCTTCATGTTATGGTGTCCCTCAACCATAAAGTTATTTTTGTTGCTACTTCATAACTGTAATTTCACTACTGTTATGAATCGCAATGCAAATATCGGATATACAGAATGTCTGATATGTGACCACTATGAAAGGGTTGTTTGAGCCCCATAGAAGTCATGAATCATAGGTTGAGAACCACTGGCCTAAGCTGTCCTTAAACTTACTATGTAATTAAGGATAAAGTTAGACTTCTGGTCCCTGTCTCTACCTCCTGAGTACTAGGATTATAGGCATTTGCTATCACACCCAATTTATGCAGTGCTTGAGACTGAACCCAGGACTTCATGCATGCTAGCAAGTGTTCTACCAAAAGACCTATATCTCTGGCGACCAAATTGGGTTTGGTTTTCTTTTTTTTTTTTTACCTAACTGTTTAGTACTTTATCTGTGAAAACAAGAGTCTCGATTCAGAATTGATTAGAAAACAGTGTTTGTGGCCAATAAATGAACAATCACCTTTCTTTCTAGGACACATTCAGGAGAGAAATCATAGAAACAGAATAGACTGAGAAACATATTTCATCTCATAACAGATAAATGAAAATAATTTTACACAAGTTTTCTTAAAAGAATGGAAAATATTGTATTCTTTCAACAATATTTCACTTCACAGTATATTTCCTTTCTCAATGGGAGATACTTTAAAAGCATAGAACTTATCTGTAAATCTATGGCTTAGCCACAGATTCTTATATTCAGTTACCTTTTTAATTGATCCAATTAACAAAGCAAAATACACATTTAAATTAAACATGTATCTAAACCATTGAGGAGTAATTAAAATTATAGATCAGGTTTTCTTTCACTGATCAGAAATTATTGTAATGCTTCTGTGGTGCTTGGTTCCAGGCTCACTTTGGTGTGCTATTAAAGCACAGGATTGTCAGATCACAGGGAGCAGCTCATTTTCATTTTCATATCTTCAATTCTAAAGGGGATTAAATTATCCAATTAAGCTGTTAATTAAAAAGACTCCTACAGAAGAAACTGCAGGTTACCAATAGCATTTTCAATTTTCATTGTGCTGTATTCAAAAGCAATTTTCTAACTTCAAAAGAGCACAAAGTTGCTGCCCTAGATTATACTTCCAAAGGTATATCTGCTATCAGCTGAGAGCCCAACCCACTTCCTCTTTTTTCTTGGCTCATGCCCGGACTACGTGATTCATCCACCCCAAAGATTGGGTTCAGCCACATGACTTTTATCCAGTGGAATAGAAAGAAAAGCAATGTAAGCCAATCCCCAGGACCAGAACAAATCTTCCATTTCATATTTTCTGTGGCCATTTCTCTCCTATCAGTCTGTTGTTTGTGAGCATGTTATTTAATCATGTCTTGAAAATTGTATAACCACAGTATTGAAGCCTGGGTTGCCAAATAACCAACTGGAGGAGAGACATTCAATGGCCATTAATATCCATTGTGCATGTAATGAAAACAAAATAAACTGAAGTTGAACTAAGCCTTTAAGATTGTCTATTTCTACAGCTAGCATAGTCTTAATTACTAAACAAATCTGAACAAATTTAGTACCCCTTGGGTCTCTTGAAATCTATGTTACTTAAACCATAGTAAAGGAGATTCTGTATCTCTCACCTCTGTCCACCCCTGCAAAATCTCTCCTTCTTGCCCATAACCTAGAGATAATTCTGGGACAAACTCTTGTCATTTATAGTCATCTTTCCTTCAAGCCATGATCACACAGACACATCACACACACACACACACACACACACACACACACACACACATACACACACACACACACTTTGTGGATCTATTACCAAACTAGAAACTCGGAAACTTAACTAAACTCTCTATTAGGCTATATCCAACCACTTATTACCCACTAACTCTAGAGCATCTCACTTTAATATCCAACGCAGGATGCCATGACACAGTAGATTGACTTAGGACCCTGTAGACCAGTATTTTGCCAGATTTTAGAAAATAAGTGCTAGAAATTTATTTTAAGGTAATTAATGGGCAATTCTATTTGTGTTACCAGCCTAATCCCAACAGGCTCCAGTGAGAAACTACTGTAAACTAGTATAGATTTGTTTGGATTCAGGCAAAGTGGTCAACCTTTCAGATTCCATCAGGGTCACCAGGAAATTATAGTTCACTGAAAGTGGATTGGTCAAAGAAGCCCCAAGTGCATGAAGGTATATATCTAAAGAGCCATAACCAACTAGAAACAAAAGTATACCGAAGGTTAAGTTAGGGCTTCTTGTCAAAAAAAAAAAAAAACTTGTTGGGATCTTGGAAGAGAGTGGACTGATAACGTCCATCATAAGAGAGCTAAATAACTTTTACATGTGTCTCAAACCATACTGTAATGTACTTACATATCAGATGTTACTCAGTAGTGTAGTTATACCCATTTACAATATCCATCTCCCCTGTTAAACCAAACAGCTCACTGAAGCAAGAGACTGTATATTATCTTCCTAAATATAGCTGGCTTGGTGATTTCAATAGAATGGATGCTCAGTTACCATGTGCTGAATGGATAACTATAAATTGACTGTATTGTGAAGGTACAGTAGCAGCACATAGAGATTCTCTGCTTCAATAGGAATGGTCTTGTGCATTATCACTTTTGTGAGACGAGCCCTACCACAGTAGATAATTTTCTCACAGGCATCTCTTTCCCTCAGGAATATTATTACAAAGGCAATAAAACCACATCTGCTGACTTATATTCTAGAAGGAATGTAATGACCAGCTTTCAAATCTCTCATTGTCTACAGAGAAAGTTTCTGCATCTAAGTCTTACTTTCCCAAAGCAAGAAATTTAGTTTATTGTAGTGGCTTGCACAATTTTCTGGCAAATATATTCTAAAGCAGAACTGAATATCCACATGTATAACAGATTGGGATTGTTTGCAAAAAGGACAGCAACAAAACCTTCAACAAATGTTTTATTGTCCTTAAAATGATGATTCTCATTATTTCACAAAGGAAAAAAGTCACAACCAAGCCAGTCTGATAGTAACGACATAAATTGTTTTTAAACTGCACAATCCAAGAACATCTTTCTTCAAACCAGTAAGGAACTGCCACTAATGATAAAGATGTTATTACATGAAACAAGCATGCAGTCTTCCATAATTTAAGATGCACTGTGACATTATGTTAAAAGTATCAAAGGCAGTGGCTACCAAATGATAAGTAATTTTATAAATACTGGTGGAATAAACATATTAGAAAAGAAGATATTCTTAAGAGATGCAAGATAATCCAAAGGTCAGTAGCCACAAAACCTGTCTTTCCATGCTCTGAAATATTTGACAAACAATTCTAAGCCTTCCCATTTCTCTTGGCATGAGCATGCTCTGTCTGGTGACCCTCAGTTCCTGGTTTCTTCTTAGCAATGCTCCAGGGTTAAATAAGATAAAGTTTATGGGCTATGCTTTAATCTCCATTGAGGTAAGGCACTAAATAAACTTGAGGATAATTTATGAATTCTGATCTAACAGCAGTCATGTCCCAATTCATCTAATAAAAGGTAGTGAGGCAGGAATAGGAGGCTTATGCTGAGTACTTGAAAAAACACTCAGCAAACTTTGGACAATGGTAGTAAGGCCACACAACACAGCTTTAAATATACAGAATCCTTGACTCACAAAAGAGAATTTCCCACACATTAAAAAATAGAAAACCTTCTTCAAATGCCCAGTTAATAATCCACTTGCAGAACAGCTGCCATATGAGTCAGAGCAGTGTGTTGCTGCAGCCCTAGTCTGAGATCCAATATTCAATTTCCTTTTGATTTACCATAATTATTTTTAAAGACTTTTTTGGCTCTCCACCAGTAAACATGTATATCAAGGAGTACCAAGATCCTATCTTATTTTCCTTAGGTCAGCTCCCCATGCTTTTCTTCCATTCCTCCAGTCATGTCTGACCTTCTCTACCATTTAATCAGTGTCTCTTTAAGAAATCAAGTTGCACAAAGAACAATATTGTAATTTGAAAGGTTTAACAGAGAGACTTAAAAAGCTAGTACTTGTAGAAAATGTGTGGGTACTCAGAGTAATTTTGTATCACTTGAAAATCTAAATTGATCAAGATACTTAGTTACTAAGCTTGTCATCCAGAAACTGGGAGAACTCTAACTAATCACTAACCAGTTGGCTTTAACCAATATACCAATATCATTTCCAAAGTCTTAAGTCTATAGTTTTATCAAACACGCTCTCTGACCTGCAGGAATGTGTTTCTTTGGAATTGTTAAAAGGAAACCTAGAAGGAACACACTATTTATAATAAGCATGGCAAACTTCAGTGTTCAGGAATAAAATAAGGTTATCAAATCAGACTGGTTACACCAAAGAAAAGGCACATATATTTTTAACACCTCACATAATGTTATTTGTGTTTAGAAATACAAACCAAGGTCACACTAAACCATGGTTAAGAGGAGGAAAATGTTGCTGCCCTTCAGAAGTGTATCCATTCGGAGAGGAGGAAGTCAAGGGGAAAATCACTCTCCTCAGACTAATGCAGTGTAATTGTTTTCCTCATGATGGTGCCCTTCCATTTTTCTCTCTTTGGAAGTTCCCATGGTTACAAAAGAATATGGTTCACACATTTTTTTAAAAAAAGAATGACAGGTCACAAGGATGCAAAATGACCTCCTGTGATTCATCTGACTTTGTCATTATGCTTTTGAAATTTTTCTATTGGCCCACTTAACTCAGCGCCCCATGTACAATGAATAATGTGATGAGGGGGTAGGAAAATGCCTACATTACATTTTAAAAAAATCAGAAATACTCACCACTTCAATGCCATTACAATTTATCCTACATACACTCTTAAATGTGATAACAATGTTATCCTACATAAATACACACTAAGTTAGCTAATCAACACTATAGGTGCTGATTACAAAAATAATGCTCTAAAGATCAAAATACAGTACTGCTTTTAGAAAAAAATAAACCCTTCATAAGACGTGAAGAGTAAAGTTATGTCCTTTAGATCTAGGCAGGATTGCTTAAATTGGATTCATATATACCAAGATGCTTTCATTCTAGAAGCTTCTGCAAAGGTTTTCTTTTAAAGAGAGGTAACATTAAGTGGACTAAGATGGAAGAGCATTTTACTCCCTCCTCAGCATGGTGTTTATATCATCGTGCTAAAAGGAAATGAAAATCATATGTTCCTGACATGGAAACAACAAATTCTTTCCTTAACGTCTACTCAGTTCAGTCAGGAGATAAACACATCTGAGCAGAACAAAACAAGATCTGAACTGCTCCATGATTGTTATCCGTCAGACAGAGGCTTACTGACATAGAGAGGGAATGGATCAATGTTCGCAGAGTTCATTTTCTACTATCTTTATTGTTATGTGATTAGTTGTTGTTAATAGTTTTTAATACTTCTAGCAGTTAAAGATGTATTCTTTTTTCCATATTTTACAAACCCAAATCCTTCACCTAATGGGGTTTATGTCATCTTTGTTCATGCTTACTTAAACAGAGCAGTTTGCTAAATAGAGTGGAAGTTCTGAGATACAATTGTCCAATAGACTCAAAGCCTGAAGTGAAAAACCTTTATCAAAAATTATAAAATGAAGATCCAACACATTTCCAATTTAACTACCTTAGAATTATGAAATGTTGTGTGACAACTGTACACCATAGGGCACACATCTTTATCATTGAGGATGACAATTTTCATTGATTGATCCTTTCTATGGATACACTCTACTCAGGTCCCCTGCAAAGCTACAGATTGAAACAGTATATACCACCTAGCTGTGGCTAACAGAAATGGATAATAGAGTTATCAGCCAAGAACAGTTTAACCAAATAGACTTGGAACTTGTTTTCCTGGTTTGGCTTTCTAAAAAATTGTATTTGGCTCAGTTCTTGAATTCCTTTATAAACCCAATGACTTTGAACAGATACTGTTTAGATTTAGATCCAAGCAAGTCATCTACCCAAATGATGAAAATGTATTAAAAATAAAAGCCTTCAATAAAATATAGGCAGAAAGCAGTAGGTGCTGAGTATGTTAATGCCTCCTCTACTGGCACTCCTCAGTTCTGTCAGGATGGCAGAAACCAGCACTCCAGCTACCAGAGTCGGCAGGAATCTGCACCTCTGTTCATGGTGGAATTTGGTGGACAGTTAAAAGCTTTCTGAAATTCTTCAAAGTTGCTAATGGCACCATTGACCCTGAAAAAAAAGAGAGAGAGATGACAAACTACATGTCATTCAATTCCTACACATCCACGAGTTCTGGATAAAACAGTTCGTTGCTACAAAGGGGTCTTACATTTGCTTAGTCAGTTTATAAGGAAGACACCTAAAGCTCAGATAATTAAGAAAAAAATTAACGTGGAGAAAGAGGAACACTCCTCCATTGTTGGTGGGATTGCAAGCTGGTATAACCACTTTGGAAATCAGTCTGGTGGTTCCTCAGAAAATTGGACATAGCATTACCTGAGGATCCAGCTCTACCACTCCTGGGCATATACCCAGAAGATGCCAACATATAACAAGGACACTTGCTTCACTATGTTCATAGAAATATCATTTATAATAGCCAGAAGCTGGAAAGAACCCAGATGTCCTGCAACAGAGGAGTGGATACAGAAAATGTGGTACATTTACACGATGGAATATTACTCAGCTATTAAAAACAACAAATTCAAGAAATTCTTAGGTAAATGGATGCAACTAGAAAATATACTGAGTGAGGTAACCCAATCATAAAAGAACACACACGGAATGTACTCACTAATAATTGGATATTAACCCAAAAGCTCACAATATCCAAGATACAACTCACAGACCACATGAAACTCATGAACAAGGAAGGCCAAAGTGTGGTTGCTTTGGCCCTTCTTAGAAGGAGTAACAAAATACTCATGGGAACAAATATGGAGACAAAGCATGGGACAGAAACTGAAGGAGGGGCCATCCGGACACTGCTCCACCTGGGTATCCATCCCTTGTGCATTCACCAAAGGTAGACACTGATGTGGATGCCAGGAAGTGCATGCTGACAGGAGCCTGTTATAGCTGTCTCCTTAGAGTCTGACATATACAGAGGCAAGATGCTCACAGCTTACCATTGAATTTATCAAGGGGTTCCCAATCGAGAATTTAGAGAGAAGACTGAAGGAGCTGAAAGGATTTGCGGCCTCATGGGGAGAGCAAGAATACCAACCAACCAGAGCTCCCAGGGTCTAAACCACCAGCCTGGGAGCACATAGGGAGTGGCCCATGGTTCCAGCTATATATGTAAGGGAGGATGACAGTGTCAGGGATAGGTGGGTGAGGAAGTCCTTGATTCTGTGAAGGCTGGATGCCCCAGTGTGGGGGAATTCGAAGGTGGGGAGGTGAGAGTGGGAGGGTGGGGGAACATCCTCATAGAAACAGGAGAAGGGGGGAGGGGATAAGGGGTCCTAGTTGGGGGGGGAAAGGGGATTACATCTGAAATGTAAATAAAATATCCAATAAAAAAGAAAAAAATAATGTCATTGAGAATGAAAACCAACATTTCTTCAAAGGCTACCCTTTGAAGGGTACTCCATCAGGACCCTAGTACTCCTCCAAGAGTCTTCAAATTCCTACATAAGTGTATCATCTCTAAGGCTTTGTTTTCTAACTTTTGAAATAGTTATTTATAGCAAGTGTTAAAGATAGAATATAGATAATAATAAATATACTCAGGGAATTATTAACAAAAATTCCAACATTCCAAGCAACTAGTTAGTAAAATGAAATTAGTTTCTAAGACACATATAGTTGGCACAAAGGGCACAAATCATAAGTGTAGAAACCACTATTTTTTTTAACAATATGTCCCTGTTTCTACCATTCTGTGATCAAGGCAAGGTATCTCAAGCACTCCAAAATTTCCCTTGTCTCCTCTACCAAGACTTCCAAAAATAATTACTACTGCACCATTTATCACCATAGCACCACCTTTGAACTTGCCATGAATGGAATGTCCACTGCACATAAGTTTGTTTTTGGCTTCTTTCTCTCTTTGTAAAAGTCATTGCTCTTCTGCATTTCCAATTAGATTTTAACAGTTCATTCGATGTACCAAAATACTTTCTCTAAATTGCTACCAATTTGGATACTCACATCTACCTAGAATTTGGCTAATGTAAGAATCAACTAACTAATGGAAAGAATCTAGCTGTTACAGATGAGTCATTCGCACTGGATTTTTAGCTTCAGAATCTTCTACAGTCATAAGTTCCTGATTGCAATAAAGACTGCAGATTTCTACTCAGCACTTTGATTGTAACTGCCTTTTGCAAGTGGTGTTCCCATTGTGTGATTTTTCTCTTCATTTAAAATCTATGCTTATTGCAGATATCAATAACAAGTCAGGCAAAAACTTGCCATCAATTTCTTACTCAACTGAACATTCAAAGGGCTCACTAAAAGCAGCATTCTCTGTCACTATTTCTTCCCTAATGATTTTGTTACCTCTGGGCATTTGAATGAATGTTATGGCCTGTATCCAACAAATCCCCATAACTTCTTGGGTTTAGTTTGGGTACTTAGATAGGGATCAATATAACATAGTATGATTCACCTTAGACAAGTGTTCAAGATGGAATATAGATGATAATCAATAAGTGTATTCTGTAAATTATTAGCAAAAGAAATTCAAAACTTCAGGCAACTAGTTAGTAAAATGAAATTAGTTTCTAAAACTTAACTGTTGAGTAATTAATCTACTGTGTGGTTTCATCTGCTCCATTTGTCTGTGGGATCACATTTTAATCCATTAGAAACTGTCAGCCTTCATGACAGTTCAGCCCAGTGGGGGAGAATTTCCAACACAGTGATTAGATTTTTATGCTAGTGGGTAATTTATACTCAATTTTGAAGCTTTTCTAAGGCAAGGTTTTAGGAATAAGATTTTAAAAGATAGAGGAAACCCTAGATGACTTTCTTATGATATGCTAATGGGTTCATTTAAATATTAAACATAAGGATATCCAGGTATAATATGTTCTAAGCAAAGAATAACTATAAATTACCATGGCTTCTTGGATTTCTCTATATAACTAACTGTCCTCTCAAGCCATAGAACCTGGTCCAAGATAAGTAATATCAAACTTAATTTTGTTTTTACTTAATATTTTATGCATTCTGAAAATTACAGTTATTAATCTTTTCTCCTTCATATATATAAGCAATTGTTTCAAAGGGTGTTTCAAGATGAAAACCAAACTGCACTGTCTCTGAATCCAGATATGAATTATAATTGCTAAAGATAATCATATATCTTGCTTTGTGTTCAGAAAGGGGACAACTGTTTGTGTTTGTTAGTTTACAGTGTGGGGGGAACAACAAGAAATACCACAAAGAATACTCCTAAACAGAAAACAGATCATAATAAATCAGAGATCTTGAAGCTTAAAAACAGAATAGTATATCAGATCACATCCTCTTCTGAGATAATAAAATCAATTTTGAATTTTTTTCTTTTGCCCAGACTTCAATTCAATATTCCCATTGTTAAGCAGTGAATCTGATGTACTAATGGCATCCATGGACTATTGCCTTTCAAAAGCATATATATATATATATATATATATATATATTTTCTTTTTATTTTATGAATGTTTGTATGTATGTGTACCATGTGCATTGGAGGCTTCAGAGACTGCAAGAGGAACTCAGATACCGTGATATTTGATTTTCAAGTGGTTATGAGCTATCATGTGGGTGCTGGAAATTGAACCTGAATTCTCTCCAAGAACAGCAATACTCTTAGCCATTGAACCATCTCTCTGGCCCCAATCAGTTCTAATTCTATATCTGAAATTTAATACTAAAACTGAGATTTGTATTGCAATTACTTTTGAAGCCTCTCTGGTCTCTTGATGTAATACTAAGCAGAAATTGAGTTGAAAAGACAATGAGAAGACCAGCTTACTACAATGAAACAAGAGACGCTCAGTTTCTGTTTGGCTAGGTTCTGTTGTCTACAAAATGGAGTTTATAAATTTCATTGTATAGACTTTTGTTCATATCTCCCATCTGGCAGCACACTGGTATGGCTGGGAGCACAGAGTGGGGGAAATGCACAGTTAAAACCTGGGGTCACCCCAGACAGAGTTATTAAATTAACAGGCTGGCAAGCCAAAGATGGGAAAGATTCTGCACAGAGCCTTACCAACCTAAGACAGAATTACATTGCTTTGATAATGTATATTCCATGATTAGTAAGGAAGACATTCTTGGAAGACTGACCTAAGACAGGCTTAGTCTTGTTTATGAAATAAAAAAGAGAAAGAGGTGGAGAGCTTTTGGGGCTGCTTGGCAAGAATCTGACATGGGTCAAGGACAAGGAAGTGGACTTCGGGCAGGAATCTGACATTAGGTTAGAACAAAGAAGTAATTTCAGGCAGGAATCTAAATACTAGGCTAGAACAAAGAAGTAATTTCAGACAGGAATCTAAATTTTAGGATAGAAAAAGGAAGTAGGCTTCAGACATGAAAATGACTTTAGGCTAGGACAAGGAAGTTGGCTCAGATATTTTGGTCATACTGATAAGCCTTTAGAAATAGTGATCAAGGGGGTGTTCACAGAATTTTGTTTATTGCCTTGCTTGTTCCTTGACTATTTGTGTTTACTGTCTTGCTTATTCCTTGATTATTTGCATCTAATATATTGCTAATTCCTCAACCTAGAACTGACCCTAATAGTTGCATGTAATTAAAACGCTATAAAAGCAAAAAGGAGGATGGGGAATGGGAGAGGGGTTTGTAGGGAGGGGAAATGGGGAAATGAAATAGGATCTGAAATGTAAATAAATAAAATATACAATAAAAAACCTGGGGTCACTTACCTAAATTGTGGAGGACTGTGAGCACCAATTTGGACTTGTTCTCTGGCAGCTTCTGGTCTGTAGGAATTGCACCTCACCTAAAAGATAAGGACATCCCAGTAAATATGCCTCTACTCCAACCATACATTTTCTAGTTTCTTAACTCATCCAAGTTGTGCTGAAGAGTAATTTTGTGATTCATAGAGAGCAAGAAGTTTTAGTGAATCAGATAAAACTTGGAGCAACAGCAATATCTGCTATTCAAGTTCCCAGAGCAGGAAGTTTTATCAATGTGAATTACACAATTTGAGTAAATAAGGAAGGTTTCCAGGCAAATAATTTAAATCAAGAGAATTACATGTGCTGCAAAATTACTGAGTGTATTCACCTTATTAATTTGGTGTTTTAAATAGCCTTTACAAAATTTAACAATATTCATTTCAATGGAAAAAAATAAATAAAACATATCATGGTTTAGTACAATCAAGAGGTTTACTGACTGTAGATGCCCTGAGTGTCTTTCTTGCCTTATACTGGTCTGAACTTGAGAAAGGAATACATTTCTCTATTTCCTTTGAAGTTAGACATGATTGCTTAACTTGTTCTGACCAATAAACATAAAAAGTTATATATTCTGTTTCCCAATAAAAGTTTGAGAAAACTTGGCATCAATATTAACAGTTTTAGGAGTGATGTAAGATGCTACATTAGCAGTCAATGGGTTGAGTAGATGACTCAATCTGTAATGCACCTGATACAAGCATGAGGACCTGAATTCAGATCCCTAAAACCCACACTAAACAGCTAGGCATGTACCTGTGCCCCAAGAGCTGGGGGCAGAACATAGGGGTGGTGGTAGAGAAAAGTGGAGTTCATTGGCAAGACAGCCTAGCCAAATTAATGATTTTTAGATTCAGTCAAAGACCATGTATCAAAAAATAACCAAGAAGAGCAATAACAGAAAGTCACTTAACATGAGCTTTCGTCCTTTATACACACATGCATACATCCACACTAAGAAGTACCCACACCAACATAAGCATACACTGAGCAGGGTGGTGGTGGCACACGCCTTTAATCCCAGCACATGGGAGGCAGAGACAGGCGGATTTCTGAGTTCGAGGCCAGCCTGGTCTACCGAGTGAATTCCAGGACAGCCAGGGCTACACAGAGAAACCCTGTCTCAAAAAACCAAAAAATAAATAAATAAAAAAATAAAAATAAACATACACTAACAACAAATAAAAAAGTGCTGTTTGGTGTCCATGAAAGTGAAATGATGAAATACTCCAAATGAAACACTTCAAAACACAATTCCTTCAGTTCAAAAAAAAAAAAAAAAACTATAGTCAGAGCCCCACTGATGACATGCTGAACATGGAACAAAAACAAGAAATACACTCTTGCGTGATTTGTTTCTGAGGTATAACCTACTTAATACTCATTTGAAATATTTCTTCAAACATGATATAAGCTTAAAGTATGAATACCTCTAGGATACATGAATATATAGGAAAGCATTTGAAATTGAAAGGGAAATTATAAATGATTGAGGGATGGGAAAAACATTCAGCTTGGTTGAACATCAGTGTGTAAGTGCCCAGGGAGAGAAAGGCTCATGCCAGATTTCTGAAGTACTAATCAGCAGGTGTAATTAGTTCTTGAACAGTAAAATAAAACCATATTTTTGAAGGATTTACCTGGCAGAAGTATATGGGAAAAAGAAGGAAGTACATTTAAAAGCTATTAATGCCTATTAAATAATTAGAAATAGGCATTGAAAGAACCAAAAGGATAAAAATACATAGAAAATGCATGAGAAACAAATTTAGCAGGTCATAACAACTATAGGTATAGAGGGCAAGAAAGCCAATGGCTTACTGTTATTTTGATAATGATAAATCATTTCTCACTATATTTATGAATATGAGTTTAAGGATATTTTTGTAATGTGATTCTTTAATTTCCTCAAAAGCTAGATCATGGTAGTTTGTGGTGGTTTGAATAATTATGATTGGTCCTCATAGACTCATGTGTTTGAATACTTGGTATAGGGAAATTGTACTATTAGGAGGCGTAGATTTGTTGAAGTAGGTGTGTCCTTGGACAAAATGTGTCACTGTGGGAGAGAGTTTGAGCTCAAAGGGTCAATTCACTTTTCTATCTTGTTTCTTGCCTATCAGGATGTAGAACTCTCAACTCCTTCTCCAGCACCATGTTGGCCTACGTGCTACCATGCTTCCTGCTAATGGCAATAATAGACTAAAACTCTAAAACTGTAAACAAGCTTTAAATAAATGGTTCCCTTTATAAGAGGTTCTGTGGTCATAATGTTTCATCACAGCAATAGAATCCCTAAAATAGACCTCATTTTTCCTGTTCAACCTCATATCTTAGGTTATTTTGTCATATATATATATGCATTGATTATGTTTCATAAGTTATTTAAGAAGTTCCTGAATATTAAGGTTGTTACTGTTTTCTAGCACATTTTCACGATAGAAAATAGTATGTACCATGTAAACAGAATTCCTCCAGTGTGCAAAAGAGTAAAAATATTCTTATTCTATAAGATTGGGGGATGCTTGAAGAGAAATTTCTCAATGGAGAATTTTAAAGACAGAATTCTTCTTTTTCTTATTGTTCTAGAAATAAGATATATAAGGGATTTTAGGGATACAGGTGGAAAAGTTTAATTGGTCATAATAGTATACCTAATTATCCTGTGGGCAGGGAAGCTAGATTGGGCCTTGTGTGCTGAGTTTAAAAACCTCTGCACAAGGGCATTCTTTTTTTATTGGATATTTTATTTATTTACAATACAGATGTCATCCCTTTTCCCCATTTCTCCTCCCTAGATCCCCCTATCCTATCCCCCCTCTTCCTTTATACTTTTATATCATTTTGATTACATGTATGTATTAAGGTCAGTTCTAGGTTGAGGGTCTAGCAATACAATAGATGCAAATAGTCAAGGAACAAGCAATACAATAAACACAAATAGTCAAAGAAAAAGCAAGGCATTAAACTAGGTTACGTGAACACTCCCATGATCACTGTTTCTTAAAGGCTTATCAAGATGACCAAAGTATCTACTTCCCTATCCTAGCCTACTTCCCTATCCTAGCCCAAGGTCATTTTCATATCTGAAGCCTACTTCATTGTACTAGCCTAAAATTTAGATTCCGGTCTAAAATTACTTCTTTGTTCTAGCCTAATATTTAGGTTCCTGCCTGAGATTACTTCTTTATTGTAGCCTATGATTTAGATTCCTACCTGGAATTACTTCTTTGTTCTAGTTTAAGGTCACATTCCTGCTTGAAGCCTACTTCCTTGTCTTTGGCCAATGTCATATTCCTGCCAAGCAGCCCATTTCCTTGTCCTTGGCCCATGTCAGATTCTTGCCAAGCAGCCTCAAAGGCTCTTCACCTCTCCCCCTTTTTTATTTAGTTAACAAGACTGAACCTGTCTTCGGTCATTCTGACAAGAATGCCTTCCTTACTCTTCATGGGATATGCATTAGCAAAGGCAATGAATGCACTTCTTTCTTAGGTTGGTAAGGCTCTGTGCAGAATCTTACCCGTCCTTGGCTTGCCAGCCTGTTAATTTAATAACTCTGTCTGGGGGTCCATTTTCAGGTTTAAGCCATATACTTTGGCTGCCAACGTGTTGGTGTTGTTAAAGATAAGCTTTAACACGATGGGCAGGAGTAAAAGTATTCCCAGTACAAGAAGAGCTAGCTTGATCAAACTATATATGCCATTGCTGAGGTTTGACCAAAATGGAAATACTGAGCTCAGGCCAAGGATAATTTTATCGGCATTATCTGGAGCATTCTTTAAATTCATAATCTCACTATGCAAAGTTAACACACCCAGAGAGGTGTTAGGATTATGCCAAGTATCCTACAGGTGTCTTTAAACTTTTTTTCTAATTATAATAACAATCATTGTGAATTTCAAAAGTAACATTGCTCCAGTGATATTTGTCATGACACTTGGGATGGCTCCTAACTCTTAAACCCTTAACCTCCTTCAGATAATTTGAATGGGTTATAGAGCATCATTTGTTGTTCCAGATACTTATATAAATCTTTTTGTATACTCAATAAATTAGTAACACTTTTTTGATAGATGGTTAACAAAATAGTTGTCTTAACTCCTTGTGTCAATGCTATTGCAGAAGCAGCAGTGCTAGCAATTAATGGAATTAAAGCTGTTACACCAGCAATAGTCAAGCCTGCTACCCTCTTGCTTCTGCTTAAAGCCTAACTCACTTCTTCCAGCACTTTGAAGCTTTTTTCAGAGAATAAAGGTTTTCTAATACTCAGGACAGTGAGACGAAGGCTGGTTGATAGACCCACTTAACAGACATGCCAGGTTTCAACACACTAGCATAATCGGAAATTATACAGTCAATGCAACTTAAATAAATACTGTAGAAGAGACAAAACCAATTTTAGCTTGACAATTAAAAGAGCCATAAAGCATGCACTAACCCTTGTTTGAAATCCAGATCCTGTCCCAACATTATCTCTTGCTATCCTAACATCATAGTGAGCAACAGCTAGATTCCAAATAAGTCTCTGACAAAGTCCAAATCCAGTCTTCCAAAAGTAGACTGTTACTTCCCATATTGGATTGATTTCTAGACCAGTACATGATTGAGTCCTAATAGCTGGGCACATTTAAGAAGAATACAAGAGACATGATTTCTCTTTTCGATTCTCTATCCAACAAGGTCTAAAAATGTGAGGCAAGGCAGCTTGTCCCATCTGGGAGATAGTCAAGCAAAGGTGTGTCAGGAACATATGTCCAATACAGCTCCCCAGTCACCCTTGTCAGGGCACTCAGCAAGCTCACAGGTCAGCATCATTCTTTGTCTCAGCAACAGTATGTCTCACCGATCTTTTTAAAGTTCCATGGGCCTCTTCCACAATACCTTGTCCTTGAGGATTATACAAATCCCCATAATAAATTGTTGACAAAACGTCTCGACTGCTCAACTATGATTGCCAGACCCATTATCTGTTTTTTTATTGGATATTTTATTTATTTACCATTCAAAGTTATCGCCTCTCCTGTTCCCTTCCAAAACCCCTTATCCCATACCCCCTCCTCCTATTTCTATGAAGGTATGCCCCCACCATCCTTTCATTCCTACCTCCCTGCTCTTGAATTCCCCAACACAAGGGAATCCAAACTTTCAGGGGCCAAGGCCCTCCACTTCCACTGATGCCTGACAAGGCCACTCTCAACTACCCTCAACTAGAATTATTCTTTTACCACCAAACTTCTTTAGTTTGACAAGAATGTTGTATTTAAAGACATTTAAAATTTAAATGACACCATCTCTGTCCATTAATTTATTTCATTTACAAAGAGCTGTTATTTTGGACTAAAATGTAAGTAGTAGGAACAGTTAGATCCTTGTGTTTTTGTCCTCCAGACCAGAGTTCAGAAAACTTCTTCTGGAAAGAGATAGATTTCAGACTTTGAAAATCATAAGATCCCTATTTCAACTATTCATTTCTGCCATTACAACACAAAACTAACCACAAATAACATGTAAGTGACAGAGTATAGCCTTTTTTAAATCAAAACATTATTGGTTACTTTTAAATTTAAAAAACCCATATACCCTTATTTGCTCCTGTTTGCCCATTCTAACTAGGAAATACTATTTTGGGGGGGGTGTTTTTTGGGTATAAATTCTTATATCTGACCCAATACAGACACAAGATTAAATGTTGGCTATAGTCAAAGTCAGTGAGCTTTTCCTCCAAACCTTTGATTAAAAGTACAAGTCAATGGCATACATTTCTCCCTTTGGTGCCCTATCCTCAGTCTACTCACATGAGCATAACTCAGGAAGAAGAGCTGATTGTTGGTGAAAGTGATGCCTGGTAGGAGGGGCTCTTCAACTCCCTGTCTTCTGTCATTTATCCATTTCCTGTAAGCCTAGTGACAGAAGCAGAACAGGTGATCATCATGAATAATAGCTTTTCTCTTTTCCAAATCAACACAGAAGTATTAAACACATACTCCTGCCATGTGTCAAATGCACTGTGTTGAGTCTTCCTTTAAGAAAACAAACACCTGGAAATGCCACCAAGTATCACTTCACCTAATAGTGAAGCAGGTGCATCTGCAAAAGAACTGTACACCTTATGCTGCTAGCCAGGCATGGTGATGTACATCTGTCATCCTAGCATTTGGGAGGCTGTGGCAGGAGCATTTCCATGAGCTTGAGGTCAATCTGAACTACAGAATAAGACTGTCTCAAAATAGAAAAATAATTCAAACTGACAAAAAAAAAATGAACCTTGCACTCTATAAATAACAAATCAAATGGGCCACAGTAATCAGGTATTAAATAGGTCTTTAAAAGGTGTTCTTTCCATTCCAAGGAGGGACAAACAAATTGAACACAATGCACAACTGTTTTAGCAATAAATTTGAGTGGGATCAACATATTATTTTTCTTTTATCAAAAAGAAAAGGTGTTATCTTTTTTCATCATCAATTAATAAAATACATTTTAACTAGAATATAAAGAAAGATAACACTTAGAATAAACCTGGTTTTTAAAGTAAACATATTCAATTTTATGCAAATCTTTCTATGTTATTGCTATGTTTATTTCTTAACTATTAACTGAGAGATGATGCAAACAGTCTTATAGACTTTCACTGGCCCAATATATGAGAATGAGTAGCCTCTAGCCATAAGTTTGAAGTATGAGGCTTTAAGATAAAACGATAAAGAAGAATAAAAATAAATCTTTACTTCAAGAAAATTCACATGAATTTAACTTCAAGAAGAGTCCTATGGCATTCTTTAATATGATTCTGAGTATGTCTGAAAACTCTATTTCAAATATATAATTCTTAATAATCATTATTATTTAGGATGACTTAATACTCCAAAGAGAAAAAAAGTGCAATTCTATTAGAGTACAACAGAGTCCATGTAGAAACAAAAATATATTTTAGTGAATCCAAAACATCATAGTCATCAACATTGAGTTGGTGCTATACACTGAGCAGCACCCATGCATGCTTTCGAGTTTTAAAGCCCAGTAAATGTAATGGCGAGTACCCTAAAAGCTTCTCGCAGACCTCCATTATCAGCAATATTTTCTCCCAGGGTCCTCTTCCCCTTCACCTAAGAAAAGAAAAATGAAAGTGTTTCACAGTCAACTACCATTCAGCAAAAGGCATGTAAATATTATAGGAAGCAAATGTCATATTTTAAAGAGAAAATTACATACAATAAATAAAATATAGGTATGATATGCTTTGAGATGGCAAACTAGCCCCAGCAAGATGCTTCTGAATATAGCCATTTTTATCTTGCTACTCTCTGCATTACTTTCTCAGCCACCTCTTTATTCACACTAATTGAGCCAGCTCCAATAAAACATTAACAATATTCTCAATGGCTCTGGTTTAATGGGAGAAATAGAAACGTCAATATACAGATGACTCTCTGATTGACTCACATAATTTGAGTGTTTCTTCCCACTGTCTCTGTGTCTCTAAAAATTTGCCATCCACACAGGAAAAAGATTTTAGAACCAGCCATTATCATTTTTACCTTCAGCTATTTCTATGAAACATTGAAAGGAAAGTTGTTCTCTTGGGGAAGAAAAATGAAATAGAAGTGGTACAAACTACAAGGTCAAGGTTTGAAATATGTATGACATCCAGCGAAGCATGGGGAGACATTCTTCTCAGCTGTTTCCTAAATCTGTAAATGAGCTAGGATGGAAATAGTCTACATTTATACACCCCAGCCAAAGCTAACCTGCCATTTGCTTTTGTCTAGACAGGATTTTCCACTTGTCAGTAACTGAAAGAAAAATCAAAAGAACCATATCTTGTGGCATATAGAAATTATATGAAATTCAAATCAGTATCTATAAATCAACTTTTATTAGATCACAGCCAAGCCCACTAACATAAACAGTCTGCTTTCCCTTTCTTGCTAAAAGAGCAGTTTAGTATTTGTTATCTAGCTTAGGGGTATGCTAACCCCCGTATAGTAGGCAGACTTATGGCTTCTTAAGGACATCTACATCAAAATCCCCAGGCATTCAGGAATCAATTACCCTTCAATGGCAAAAGTGACTTTTAAAATGTGATTAAGTCAAAGAATCTACTATGCCATAATTATAAATGTTCTTATAAAAGGAAAAGGAAGACCAGATAGCATCAGAGTGGTACAATGGCCATTGTTGGCTTTTAAGAAGGAAGGTGTCTTCATTATTGTTCTATGGCTGTAACAAGATACTATGACCACAGCAACTCTTATAAATGAAAGCATTTAATTGGGGGCTCCCTTATAGTTCAAAGATTTTGTCCATTATTGTCATAGTGGGAAACATGGTGGAATACAGGCAGATATGGTGCTAGAGAGGTAGCTGAGAGTTCTACATCTGAATCAGCAGGTAGCAGGAAGAGAGACAGAGACACTGGGCCTAGCTTGACCTTATGAAAAGTCAAAGTCCACGCCTCAGTGACACAATTCCTCCAACAAAACCACTCCAACAAAGCCACACCTCTAAATAGTGTCACTCCATATGAGCCTAAGGGGGCTGTTTTCATTTAAACCACCACAGAAGGGGTCATAAGTCAAGAAATGTTGATAGTTTCAAAAACATAGAAAATGCAGGAGACAGATTCTTCCCTAGTACTGTCTACAAAGGAAGACATCCATTCTGACACCTTTCTTTTAGGCTATGGAGACTTGAGTCACACCTCTGACATACAGAATCTTATGAGAATAAATTTGTGTTGTTTTAAGCAACTAAGTTCATAGTAATTTGCTGTATCAGAAAGAGGAAACTAGTATACCCTACTTTCAAGCCAAGGATCCTACCAAAAGCTTACTTTTAAGTTATCCCAACTACTTATATATCGAGCAATGCTAGCAAATTAAAAATATATCTTAAGGAAATAAGATTCAGAATGATCACCAAGAACCCCTATCACCCTTCACTTTACTCTCCTAAAGTTAGCATTTTGGCTCTGCTTACATTCTTTTTCTACATTCCAATGAGGTAAGGACTATTGTCAATACATTGTTTAACAAACAAGCATTTGAAACTCAAAGCAGGCCATGGAGGAGGAGGAGGAGGAGGAGGAGGAGGAGGAGGAGGAGGAG